AAAGACTGTTGTTGGTGGTGACTGACATTTCGACAACCTGAGCGGAAGTCATCTTTAGAGTCCAGTGAGAAAACGAGAGACAAGTTAATCTTTGAATCCATGACCTCCCACACAACAACCTGTGCCGGTTCCCAACTAATGGGATTCACAGAGTCGCTAATCTCCTCTTGGATTCCAATTGGAATTGATAAGTTGATTTTTGTGGAGGAATGAAAACCAAAAACCCCAGAGAAAAAACCCTTTTAAGGGTTGTAAAGTTGCTTGTTTGTTCTCTCCTTTGCTTTAAAAAATAAAGGAGAGAACAAACAAGCAACTTTACTCATATACGACACAGAGTCCAGAAAGCCAACCTGGGCCACAATGGTATAAGAAATGAGCACTCTCTCTGCTACGCCACCCGGCTTCCCAACTGAGCCACCCAGTCCTTTCCCTCAAAATGTACATCAACCTTCAAAAGATACAACCCGCAAAACATTAAGCCCAAACTTATACTGAAACTAGAAGTTTTCCTAGGCTGAAGGAGTCCAACATCCATCGATAACTTTTGAATATTTATTTCTTTTGTTTCCAGAATATGATGCTTTGGCTCAAGGTATTGCTAAGCACCCAGAAAGACAAGAAACCATGAGGTAAAATACAGTCTATAAAATAAAATAGAATAAATAAATCACTTTTGTTTAAGTGTCTAGTCGTTCTAGCRCTTTCGCAATAATTGGGGACACTTTTCACTCACACACATTACCACTACATTTCTAATATTCTATACACACAACACTCAACTCACATGTTGATCTTTACGGAGGAAGGAAACCGGATAACCCAGAGAAAACYCTCATAGCACAGGAGAGAACAACACATCAAACAAACTCAATTCACATGTGGCGACCATATTCTATGCACACAACGCTCAACTCACATGTTGATCTTTACGGAGGGAGGAAACCGGAGAACCTGGAGAAAATCCTCATAGCACAGGAGAGAACAACACATCAAACAAACTCAATTCACATGTGGCGACCACAGGGCTCGAACCAGCGACCCGACCGGTTGGACTCACGGCGGTGAAAGACAACGCGTTAGCCGCGAACGCCACCCATGCTACCCATGATCCAAATCATAAACTCCTGTTCTTAGGCCCTTGGCTTATACTTGTACTCGAAGGATTATTGGACTTTATAATGGGTTTGTAATGAAAAGGAAAAAGAGTTTGGGATGAAGAAGAAAAAAAGTTATTTCTTTGCTTTATTTCCCCAACCAAACTTTTGTGTCATCAATTTCATAAGTAGGAGATACCAGAGCTCGACTTATAAGTATTCAAGGGATATTAAATTTTGCATTAGTGAACTTATAACTGGGGGGGGGTTATATCTATAATTTTATTATAACTGGAAAATTTTTTTTTTTTTTTTTTACCCCAGACAAATAGAAGAACTGGAAAAAGTCCTGACGCAACAAACTGAAACAAAAGAAAGTTTGGCAAGCAAGGTAATTATGATGAATATTGTCTAGAATTTCTTGAGTACAGAAGCTTGAAACACATTGTGTTAAAACAAGAAACAGTCGGCAATGCCAGAGTGTTGAGTACATACATGTATGGTCGTTACACGTATGATAATTGAACTCTGGAACAGCAATGTATGGCAAGTATGCAGACTATATATTGGGGTCTAGAGACAGTATGTTGCTTAGATTCTATGGTGCTTGCCTTACATACAGTATGCATTGAGCAATACTTTACAGAAAATAAGAAAATTAATGTGAATAGAATATATATTTCTTTACCATCAATAAACTTAAATCATCACTACTTCCACTAATATCTGTGTTTTGACTAGGAAGCATTTTGTCAGCATTAATTGTAAGCTTGGAGGATCTTGGAGGCTGTATATGCAGGTCGTCCTTGAAAACTCTTTCAATTTGATATTTCATTGAAAACTACTTGAAATTGACTTTTTTCATAATTTATCGTTGATTTATGTGAAAATGTCCTTGAATTTGAATTAATAATCCTTGAAAGATAATAATAATAATAATACGATATTTATATAGTGCTATTTCCTGAAGCTCAATAGTGCTTTACAATACATGATAAAGCAATTGTCATTATTATGCTGATTTTAGGAATGATAATTTTAAAATTTGATAATATTGGTATTTAGATTCCTGATATCAGTGGAGAAGACTTAGTAAAAGTCCTTGAAAAAAATTAACAAATACCTGTGTGCACCCTGTATATATCTGAATAAGCCTGAAGCAAGATGATGTTTTATCCCCGACTCTATACCATGTTTTTTAAAATTCTTTCATATTAAAATTTTGGATTCCTTAGAGAATACATGAACAATAGTCATAATKAAAGAACAAAAGCAATGTGAAAAGGATTATGGTCTAGAGACGGGGGTAAAACGTCATCTCGCTTCAGGATTATTTCTGGTTTTAGACAGTAGAAATGATCAGAATACTTGAATGACTTATTTTGACATCTTTCAGTTGCTGGTTACCCCCAGTCAACTCCAAAAAGTTACATGATAGTAAACGATGATTTGTATACAATCTTTCCTTCAACAGCTTGAGCTCAGAAAGAAACAGTTTTATTTATTGATCAAAACTATACATGAACTTCAAAACATGATTGATGGTAAGTAAGTCTTATAATAGATCTAATTAGTTTTTAGATGACATAATTGAATTTTCTCATTTGGTCATCTTTGATAACAGAGAACCTCTTGATTTATTTACCAAATAACACTAGCATAAATAAAGAATGATCATAGGAGTTTCCCTATCTAGCTAGTGGAAGGCTAACCTCTGTAAAAGTGTAGAGGAATAATCCCCCCTATAGCATTAGACTGTCCCTTACTTCACCTCCGCTTTCCTCTCCATTCCGCTACTCATACTTACTGGATGTTGAATATTACATTTCAATGAAAAAGCATTTGACCCAAAAGGCAAGATAAGTCTAGCTACCAATGCAATCTAAACTGTTGTATTTTTTTTAGAGGACAAGACAGATCAAGAAAGTCAATTTTCAAGTGAAGTGGGAGCTGAGCCATCAAGTAGTAAAGTTACATCTGTTAATAATACATCTAGTGAAAAATCTACACTTGCCATGGATACTACTTGATCATTTCATCACGTGGCAGCAGACATGTTAGATGACAGGAACTATACAATTGTTTTATGATTGAGAACGAATTCACCTTTTTGGTGCTAGAAGTCACGTGGTATAAATGGTGTTGAATTGTGTTACGCTACCAATAAATAAAAAGTACGGACATTGTTCAGAATTCCCATACAAATTCACTGACTTTGGAAAGAAAATTCAGATTGATTTCTTTAAGGTTAGCTCTCTAAACAGCAGTGAGAAAAGCTTCAATCAAGTTTAAAAAAATATTTTGCTCGTAATAGACCTCCTCGGCTCTGGAGCGCTCAAGCATAATGTTGTCCCATTTCAGACCATGTGTCATTCCCTAGAGAATAATATTCTTTGTTTGAGTTGTATCCATATTTATGTGTCTTCTCATGTGCAACCGAGCGCAAACCTTAAACAAAGAAATGATACTCTAAAAATATTTTGCTCGTAATAGACCTCCTCAGCTCTGGAGCGCTCAAGCGTAATGTTGTCCCATTTCAGACCATGTGTCATTCCCTAGAGAATAATATTCTTTGTTTGAGTTGTATCCATATTTACGTGTCTTCTCATGTGCAACCGAGCACAAACCTTAAACAAAGAAATGATACTCTAGGGAATGATATGTGGTCTGAAATGGGAAAACATTATGTCAGAGCCAAGGAAGTCTATTAGAGAGCTAAGTCAACAAACCAAGTAAATAGCCATAACACAATGCAACACCATTTATACCACATTATGGCTTGGGCCGAAAAAATTCACATCCTGAGAGAAGAGATGTTTGTCCTGCCATCTAACATGGCCACCAGCAAGTGATGATGCAAAAAAATTTTTTTGGAATGATCAATGTAACAAAATGATAAGGCAGAACAAATCAAGCTCTTACAGGACAACCAGTGACATCTTGTATTTTCGAGTTTTTTCATAGTTCCAAAATTATTTTGGGTGACCTTTTTTCAGCGTCAATTTTGTATATAGTATGCTTTTCAAAAATTGTATACTAAATAAGTGAAATGATACTTTGTATAATTTATGTGATGTAAAGAATTTAATAAAATCCAAGAAACACGCTGGCCAGGATCTTGTCCTCTGTTGAAAAGTTTAAATCCTGAGTATATTAAGCCTTCAGGGTATTAGTTATGGAATTAGTATGGCTAGAGTGAATACTTTGCCTTAATTGTGCGCACTTCAGTCGGGCATTATGAGAACAGTGTATACAGTGCAAATGAAAATACTCCAATTGAGATTTGCGCTATATAAATTCAATAAATATTTATTAGAGTGCACGCACTAAATCCGTGAACAATATTTAGTACTAATTAGTAGTAATTCATACAGAATCCTTGGTTTCCTATTGTTTATCACTATTTTGTACTAAAAATTAGTATTTGTTTCACTGGTTTAGTTCGAGCACTCTATTATTATTATCATTATACTTTTTTGAAAAATCCTGGTTGCCCCATGTGAGCCAAGTTAGTTGGGTCTCTTCCCGACTCCAAGGGCTTTCTTTCCCAGCCCTCCAGTTTTTCCTCCCTACTCTAAAACTGACCTTAACTAATTCAAACTGGTTAGAGCTGCGCTCTGGTTTTATACATGGATTGTATAGCAGCTGCAAGAGGCCCCTTCACATGCTTTTATTTCGACCTGTGCCACTTCTGTACTTGCGATATGGTGACTACTAAGGGATAAAACCTTTTTCTTAACAATGAGTCAATTTGTTCTTAGCACCCTATTCCCTGTTATTTGCCATCCCCCCTCCCCACACCGCTTAGATTAAGGGGACAGATTAAGTTCATTGGAAATAATTGTGAATCAAATACTAAATGTTTTCAAATGTTGTTTATTTGCTATGAAAGGTATGATTTTCTTGGCAATACCTTAAATAATAAGACTGGAACAGCTAAAGTGTTCTTGACGTAAAATGCTGTTAACACTAAAGCTACATAAACAAATCAGTATACAAAAGTTACCATATAATGAAGTATTAACTGTCGAATAAATTACGATCAATCAAAAAATAGAATAATCCTCGGAACTGGAAACCGAAAATCACTAAATAAAGTTAAACATAATAGCAATGCTGATGCTGATTATGCTAAATGTACAGAAAATTGTTATTACGGAAAAACTGTTTTACTAAATGTTTATTGCTTTTTAATCTTATTGGTAGATCAGTGTAGTGGGGTGTCTGACAAGTATTTTTTTTTAAATGATCTATAGAATGCTTGTGGCAACCATTAAAGTTTAACTGGATACTGAGAAAATAGCTTATTTGTTGAATTCTTGAAGCTGGTTTTAAATTGTGTCTGAAGCAGAGTTAGAAGCAATTCATGCATGAAATTGTGAGTGAAAACTGTTCAAAGGAATAAGAAAAAGGACATGTTTCTGACTCCAATTAACTAGTCTGTTTTCTGATTTTCACTTCATCATAAGCTGCTTCCAATTCTGATTCTGCTTGCTAGTGAAAGCCATACTTAACTATCAATGATATTAAAGCTCAAGCAATCTCATTAACTGTAAATTGATATTTTTGAAAGAGTGTTTGCATTCTTATTGTTTATCATTAGAAGGAGCAATAGTATATACACAGAGAACAGTTATCACCTAGTTTTATATATGTATTTTAAATAAATTGATATGATAATGTATGCTTGCAGTTTATACAATGGATAATAAGTTCTAATTTTTTACTTGCAACCAGGTAATAGGGCTTGGAGAAATGAATTATAGCATAGAAGTGGGATTCATATAAGAAACAGGAAAGAAAATTTATGGAATTCGATTTAAAGCCATTTTCAATAGCATGTGTCGATCAACTTTACCAATTTAGCCAGATTGGTAAAAATAAATGGGGCATTTCTCCGATGTGGAAATAAAGTTTTAAGAACATGTGCCTATAGAATGTTCCAGGACTCACATTGTTGCGATGACAGATTACAAGATTTCATGCAATGCCATTGAAATATTACGTACAAAATGAAATTATAATCTACAGCACAGTGCTGTAATTTTCCAACTCTAACCACATCTATTTTAGAGTCAGTTGTGAAATTATTATCCTTGAGAAGTCCACAACTGGAAGAAAAGCTGAAATTTTTAACTAATTACTTTAAAGAAAACTCTCACCATACGTTCTACAATGAGTCCTGTCTTATGGAATGATGGTGGTTGATTTTCTTGACGTCCAATGTTCTAAAACTGAATTATCTAAAGACACCAAGGGAAAATTATAAGGATTGTGGTTGCTTACTACCAAACTATTGCTTTGTCAAAAACTTCTAGTATTCTTCAGAATCAAGAGCAAAAGTTATTTCTGCTTGAACTAGAATCATGCATCATTTGTAACTCCGCTTTGAAACGTTTTCCTTTTGAGCACAAATAAAGCAAAAGGAAGCATTTTATAAACGAAAAAAAATGCACTAGCATGGAATCATTGTCTTCAGAGTCTAGTTGAAAAAACTACACTTTAAAGGAAAACGCATCTTAAGCGAAAAATATATATGTCCATCTTCTAATCATGGGACAAATTATGCAAACTCGTATATCGTATGTGAGAAAAATGGTGTAATTAATCTGTTGATTGTCAAGTATTCCTAGGCAAATGCCCATTTGTAGCATAGCAAACTTGGATGCAATATTGTGGGATCACTATTTTTGGATGTGTACAAAAATGAGAATAGCTCAACAGGGCACTATTTTCGCATTTGCATGATGAGAAGTCACCAGAGATCCCTATAAACTATATCCATTGAACTTCCGGACTTACTGTGTGACATCATAAGTCAACATTCACTTGTACGACTGAGTTCTCCCTATTCTCTACTGGTGCAGAGGTGATTTCAGTATCCATTGGTACCGCAAGTGGATTACTACTCTCTTGGACCTCTTCTACCTTAGATGATTTTTCATCTGCTGCAGGTTGTGAAGGTGAAGCACAAGGAGAATTCCCACAAGGTGTCGTACTATCGACATCAACATTTACTGAGTCTGGAGACTCAGGTGATGGTCCTTTAGTGTTGGAGATATTCACGACAAGAGACACGCACAAATTACATTTGTAGGATTCAAGAGCCTCAGCTTTCTCACAGCTCAATCCTATGCATACTAAATGGAACCATAACTCACAAGCATCGCATTGAACCCAGCCGACTTCGTCCCCTACTGGCCGCGAACAAGACTTTGATGCACACATTTCATCCTCCTCATCATCGACACTTATGATCTCTTCACGGTTTGATTTCATTTTTCTTTGGCGCTTCTTTGGGATGTCTGTGTTGGTTGTACTGGTAGAAGTAGAAGAACGTCTTGAAGGTTTGTTCTTATCGTCTTCATCTTTCTTTTTTCGTTTCCTTTTGATCTTCTCTTTGTCTTGTTTAACATCGTACACCTGTCGGAAAAAACACACAAGATAAATATTCTTTTGCTTTGCGGAGATGGGAGAGTTGAACCTAGATTTGCACCTAGCACGATCACGTAAAGCAATGAACTAATGGTGTAGAATAGCATACATCAGTCACAGTTCATTACTTTCAAACAGTTTTTGGCAGGAACACGGTACGAAATTGACTTCATCCCTATGTGCCAATAACATTGCTCCAGAATGGAGTATTTTTTATGTGATCTGTAAACGTATCTGTGCCGTAGATTTTTACAGTTACAGCAAATCTATACTTTGCCGATCTTCTAAGCAAAATGCGCGAAAAAAGTACCTCTATATAATCTCAACATGGCACACGCGCATATACGTTTTTCTCTATCTGGACTGTTAGAAAAAGATGTTATACAATCTCGACATGACACGCATATACGTTTTTATCTATCTGGACTTTTAGAAAAAGATGTGTTATAAAAAGTTTGACGTCTGACAAAGTAGTTTTACAATAATATAGCTGTAATAGACCTTTGCAGCACGTCGGAATGTAGCTCAATTTGGAGGACATAACAATAGTTTTATAATAATTATTCTCATGAGATTGAAATTCTTTAGTTTTGTTTTCCAAATAGAACTGCTTTGATGTGACATGCAAGGGGTTTAAAATGAGTAATTTTCGCAAGGAACTACAGCTCGAGCAGAGGATAAATGCACCAACCTTTCTTTCCTTTTCTTCAAAGGATCGTTGAGTGCGCAAAGCCTTCCACAGTTGATCAGTTTCATCTAACGTAACCTCCAGAAGATCCCCTTCCATCATGAGATCTTCTAAACCAGCTCTTTTCTCATCTGATAACAAGACTCTAGGCTTTCTTTCGTTAGCCGGGATAGTGGTTGTAGATGAACTTGCCGTAGCACCAGCACTGCTTTCTGTAGAACCTCCAGCTGAAGGTAATTCAGACGCGATGCTCGCCAGTCGCAGTAGTGCAGCAGATGCGGAAAGATTTTCTTCCGAAACGTTCTGTGAGCTCTCAGTGCTCTGCGCTTCTGGTTTATTTAACGAGTCCAATATCTTAGCTACTTCCTGGTCCGCTAACAGCTGACGCGCACGATCCTGCCAGTTCATAGCTCGTTCTGTCAGAAATTGTAACGCTTCTCCTTCTGGGAGGCGCACGGGGAGTTTCTGAAGAGAAACAAGGAGCGAGAGAATGGTTTCTAAGCGTGGTCTTCTCGAGCGCAGGCACAGAGGACATAGATATTTGAGTTCTTTAGCGGCTTCTATTCCAGCTGATCCTTTTCCTACAGTCTTTCCGCTTTGCGTTCGAGGTAAAGGCACACACGAACCGTGGAACCATTCTTTACATAGTTCACACATCAGCATGAAGCCTTCGGGGCCGCGGCGACATATACAATACTGTCCGTCGATGCTCTCTCCAGCCTCACGCTTTGTTTCTTCTTCGCGTAACCTTGCAATGTGTAGTTTACGTAGTTTCTTAACAGAGTCTAACTCTTTGAGTTCAGCGTCTTTGAACTGCGCTATTTGCTGGAGTGGATCTCTGCCGATGTAGTCATCGATAGCGGCTAGGTCAAGGACTACTTCTTTTTCTTTCTCTTTTTCTTTTTCCTTTTCCTTTTCTCTTTTCTTTCTTGGTTTTGGACAGCTTTTGTACAAGCCAATGTCTTTCCTTGGTAACAGTATCTATAACGAAAATGAACAAAACCATCAAACTATGAACGAATGAAAGCGGTGATGGATGGACGAAAGGACGAATGAATGGGAAGGATGGGTATGTAAAAAAATCCAGACAAATAAGAATAACCAAATCGAACGAATGAATGGACCATTTTTAAGAAGGAAATCAAGAGACGTAGAAATCATACTTCGAGCAAAGGAGAATTGGAATTCTTTTTCAAGAATGTCCTTGCTGCCCTGTCTCTCCACGCTCTTGCAGCCGCCACTTGAGACTCCATCTGAGGCAACTGTTCAAGCCTTACTGGGATTGGCCTTCCGCGCATGACCAGGGCTTCCAGCACTTCCAAATATGGATAGTATACGTCATTCTGAACCAATCGTGAGAAATGAGTTAACTTTACAAGTTGATGTCATATTAGGGAAAGAAAGACAAGTTACACGGCACGCGCACGATAGGGAATTGACGAGCCAATCACAACGCGAGGGGCTTAGTACTACTAATCAAATCAATGAGCACGCTCATGTTCATGGTCACAGGACAGATTTGGTTAAGATCGTTTATTGTGCATGCTTCCCAACGCACGTCGCGACGAACTACGTTTTGATGGCAGTTAATCAAGGCATTTCTATCGCATCCAAAGGTGCGGCAAGTGGCATCCTAAAGGTGCAAAATTGAATACATCCTGAAGTACATTCGCCTAAACCAATCGCAGCACTACTTATACAGGGAAAATGCTCAGATACGGCACATTTTGTATCGTTCCAGTCATACAATCTGTACTCTGTATAACTGAGTTAATGAAATAATAATAATAAAGGGAATAATATATCGAACTGAATCGAACAAGAACATAATTTGTCTTGAAAAGAAATAGCGCTCAAGGCACAAATCAGCTCGTTATGTTTTTTTATTAATTATTATTTTTATTTATTTATTTTTTGTTTTGTTTTGTTTTGTTTTGTTCTTTTTAAAAAAACTTACCTGTACTTTATCGACTTTTTCGGACCATTCAGTAGCCTTTCTTAGCGATTCCTTCAGTGCACTGACATTAGGTAAGTAAACAGGTACATTGGATGCTTCCTTGACGATAGCATCTACTGTGGCCATAACGTGTCGAGGCCTACATGAATTAACCATGGTAAGCCATGAGATAAAGGCATACAAATGTTCACGTCTTTTCATGAACCAATTACCAAGTCCCCTAGAAATTCCCACATTAGACCTCGGGCATAATCAGTGGCGGATCCAGAAAGGTTTCAATGGGGGTGGTTGTTACCTAAGAAGGCATCACATGGCTTTCTTTTTGAGATTTACCTTTATCCGTTATTCTAACGAGTTTTCAACTCCAAAGGGTGTGGCTACTCCACAGAATCTACCCTCCTTAGATCCATCTATTGGGTTACCGATTCAGACCACGTGTCATTTCCTTGAGTATCGTTTCTTTCTTTAATTGTTGTGCATGAGAAGACACATGAATATGAATACGTACAACTCGAACAAAGAACATTATTCCCAAGAAAAGGACACATGGTCTGAAATAGAAAAACAATCTGCTTACTAACTAACATCGCACTAACAACCTTCCATGATTCATAAAATACAAAAGCGAACAGCTTGTACTCTAAATCTACCTTGCTTGAAGACATAGTTTGGCTTTTTCTTCCCATTTTTCACCACGGTTCACAAGTTCTCGTAGTTCACCAACAGCCTTCGCAACAGCTAAGCATATATTGAAAAAAAGAAGTCACTATAATATAAACTAAAGCCTTCTACTTTTAGAACGAGCTAATCTCCATCAAGGAGGTCTTTTGTCCTTATCTTAATGTCTCAGAGCACCGTCTATTTTCTACTTGACAAATCTAGTCAAACTTTTGTAATTATTCGTACCAGATTTCTGAGTCAAAGTTTGTCCAGTTGTCAGTAATTCTTGTAAGGTATCAAAAGACACCGCCTCTGTGTTTTCTAGCGTTATTGCCACTTGTTCTAACCACTTGGCTTGACATAATTCCTGTTGACAACACATTTTAGTAACAATGACCATGAAGAGCAAAGAAAGTGGCTAGGGGAACTTTAGCAATCCCCTTGTACCCGACTTTTAGTTCATTTTTACAGGAATGGGGGGGGGGGGGTTGTTGGGATTTTGTTAATCGTAAGTAAAAAGTATATACAGCTGTAGAGCTTTTAAGTTGTGACGTATTTCCGGGTCTAATCACCCAAAAGATCGCTAAAATCTTGCCACAACTTATCCCCAGGATTTATTCACCTTCAACAATTAAAAACAGAAAATCCTGCTATGAAGAAAAAACACAGAAAAATGTCTGTAGTAGTAATTATTAAGATTTCGACCTGGAAGTCGTTTTTCGTTCGAATTACGTCACACGTAATAGCGCTATAGGGCTTTTAAGTCGTGACGTATTTCCGGGTCCAATTACCTCCCCCCCCCCCCCCCCCCAAAAACCTCTAAAATCTTGCCACAACTTATTCCCAGGATATTTGCTACGCAGAAAAAAATCAGAAAAATGTCTGTAGAGTTAATTATTAATTTAGATCCGGAAGTCCTTTTTTGTTCGAATTACGTCACACTTAACAGCTCTATATGACCCCTTCCCAACCTGAATTTTTTTACACAGCCCCTAAAAGAATAGAGAATTTTTCTATTTAGCTAATCATTATTTTCCTAAACCAAGCATATTTTTTTCAGATACTACTAAATGCAATATTTCCTCTTGCTTCATAGTCATTTGTATACCTGTTTCAGTTTAGGTATCTCTGGTAGTTCGACATCCAGACCGGCCCCGGTATCCAGTAGTTGTTGTAGTCTAATCTTGTCTACTACAGTGTCTTGTAGAACCTTCTGTGCTTCACACTGGAAGCTTTCAACATGGGTCATCAGATCCTAATAATAATATTTCAACATAATTAGTTTGCAACCACTGGTTTTTAGAGGAAATTTGGATGACTGAAAAAAAAACTCAAGCTATGGACTTGCTGTGTTTTCATTAGTGAGAGACGTCAAACACTCAGTTTGACTGTGTTTGGTTCAAAGTAGCTTCTTCTGAAGGTATGTCCCATTGCTTTAGAGTTTTTCATTTTTGTGGGCTACCTGTGGTGTGAAGATAATGTGACACAGGGATCCCAAGCACCAAAAAACGTAAAATAAGAGGAGTAAACAAACTACTACTAAATATGTGTTGCCAAAGTCAAGGGTCTATATAGCTTAACAGAACTATACAAACTCTACTAAAAATGCTGAGTATGGGAATCAATAGCCAAGGGTATAAATAGCTTACCTGAACTAAATCAGCTTCACGGATAACACAGGGAAGCCCTTCTAGCTGCTGCCTGAAGGCCTGTAGCTCATCTAGACTCAGTTTAGGTGCCTGCACAACTGATGTGGGTAGGTTATGGCGTGTCCTGTGCTTTCTACTCACTAGCTGTAAAGCCACACTTGCACACCTCTCAGCTTCAGCTAGTGTTGATTTAAGTAACTGTAAAAGATCACATTCTGGGAACTGACTCTGTTCTGCTGTTGCGACAAGTTCTTTCAGTTCAGCAACACCTGTATGACAAAACGTCAAGTTTAGTAACCTGTAACTACATACGGTCAAGTCCTACTTCATGGACACCCTATCATAGAATCTTTATTGGAACAAAGTAGGTTTGAGGTACATATTGCCGAAAGACCCGCAAAATTACTGCTACTCTACTGTATATTAATCCACTTACCAACTTTATTTTCACATGGCTCCAGAGCCCTTTTGACTTCCCGTGCCCAATTATCAAACGAATCAGCTCTCTTCTTGAGCTTGAGCAACATGGAAGGCAGTTCTTTTGCAGTATATCGATACCTGGAGGGGAAAAAGTATTAAACAAATGCATTAAATATCTGTATATTTCTAAGTTAGTTGGAGTGTTGGTCTGTTGTGCAGAAGGTCATGGTTCAAGCACTGGCCGGACCAACACTCAGGGTCTTAAAATAACTGAGAAGGTGCTGCCTTTGTATTTACATCTGCAAATGGTTAGACCTTCACATGGCTCAGATGACCACATTAATGGTGGTCCCATTCCTAACAAAGTAGAGATCTTGAAAGAGGACCACAAGTTTATAAATTGAATTACTGTCAAAGTTCATTTCATTTATAATATTAGTACCTTAGTGTCTTCTTATAGGCTGGGCAGGAACAAAATTCATTAGCACAATCAATGCATGAAAGTCTTTCTGCAACATAACAAAAAATATACAGATAGTTAGTATGAAGAAGTGAACTAGCAACAAACTCTGCATTCTGATTGGCTAGAGCTGCATTGTGGTCTATCCTTTTCGAGATAGCAAACATGGTGCATGGTGGTCTAGATTGGGTACAAACAAGAATTCGTAAGGCATGAGAACAAAATATTTTGGTGCCCAAGCAAGGCTACCATGCACAATGTTTGCTTTTTGCCAAGATTGTTGTAACATGTTCAAGGATTTGGATAATTAAACTTACTGTTAGTTTGTTTAAACACTCATAGAGCTCTGACTCTCTTACCTGGATCACAAGTGCAGGTGACAGCAGTCATAAAGCAAGTTGTTTTACAGATATTACACTGTCTTTCATCATCAGGAAGCAGTTCAAAAGCTTCAGGCCGCTCAAATTCCTTAGTATTCTGTTCTAATAGTTTAGTTCTTTTCTTGATTTCTGCCTCAACAATGACAGACAGCTCATCATATACTGCCTTAGCAAGGTCTAGGTCTAGACCGTCTGGATCAGCAGCCATCTTGCACACAAGCTCCTCGTGGGAGAATACAGGGTTTCTGCTCATTTCTTTGTAGTGTTCAATGCACTTGCGTCCGATGGGAAGCTATGAGGAAAACAAGCTTAATACCATCAGAATTTGAAACATGTATTGAAAATTCTTTGGAAATGAATAGGAATGAAAAGTTGTTGTTCAGTCTTCAAAATTAAGCTGTACTAGGAATGTACTGAAATTAAAAGCTTTCAAGCATCTAACAAGAAATTATCTTAATGTAATGATAAAGTACACTTGAAACTGGAAGTTTGTGGGCTGTGTTTTTACATGAACTTATTTAATTAATTCAATAGTTACTACATCCCATTTGACAACTTAACTCGCAACTTATCTACTACTTTTATATTTCAGCAAGTCCTAAAACAACCTCTGGGCTGATCTACTGCAAGCCAGGGCACAGCTAATTCAATCTGTAAGTTAGCCATGCCATGCAATCTTTCTAACCCACAAATTAAAGAGAAATTGGAAAACAAAATATTAACACCATTAAACAATAGCTACCCTCAAAAATAAATACATCACAAGGAGGGCTCACCCAATCAGCAGTAGCAAAGTTGACAGCTTCAGCCAAGTTGAAGCCCTGGTTGAATCCAGCATGATATGCCCTAGGGAAAGTCACTACAAACTCCCCAGCACATTGGTTGGTTCTGACTACAGGCACACCCTTGGCAGTCAGGGCATTAGGATTGATTATGGTAACTAACTGATGAAGCAGGTCAGGCTGTTCTTCAAATAGCTCTGGAGCTGCTTCTTTGATTGCCATTTCAAATTCTTCTGCAGCATCTCCAGGGATGCCATACCATGTCTTGGGCTCCCCCCTGTACAATGGATAGAATGGAACAGTTATAGTCAATCATAATATCGAGTCAGATCATCATCATCATTACCATCATTTTCACCATCACCATCACCATCATTCATCATCATTATTATCAAGACCTCTATTAACAATGCAGGTATCATCATTAATCATAACCATCATCTCAATCCATTCACCACCTCTATTAGCATGACAGCCATCATAATTCATGGTTATGGTCATCATCATCATCACTGCCATCACCATCATCAATATCGTCATCATCAATATCGTCATCCTCATTGTCATTATCATTGATATCAACATTATCCTATTTCAAAACGATATGGCAGGTCTACAAGACTAAAATATAAAATATAATAGATTCTATTTTGGAGGACTAAAGGGAGATACATAATCCTACCAGTGCATATAGTTTATGGAGTAACTCCAGTGATCTTCATTGTGCCAACAAAAGCTGCTAAAACACATGCCAACATATAGCCATGGAACCTTTAAAGATTATTGATAAAAAATTTAAATTCATATTTGGGCTACCTGTGGAAGTGATAAGATGCTGCTGTGGTGGAGGAGGTTTGGTACAAATGTGACAAGCTAAACAACAGGGAGATCAAAATGTATTTCCTTGAACTAGTATTAATACTAAAGCAAATGGTATGATATCAAAAATAATGACAATGACAATACCTTCATTCCAGAGATGTCAGCACTAATGTGAGACAGTACTGATTTTTCAAGATTAGCCATGTTATTGAGATTCCACTGTGAATTAGCAAAATACTAGAAAAAAAGCAAAAATAGATGGTTCATCAACAAAGGGATCAAAGAATTACAATAGTTTCACCTAATGAAGTTTGCTTATATGTAGTTTCCCTTACAGAAGATCACCTACATGTAGTTTCACCTACTGAAGTTCACCTACATATCAAATACACTGTAAAACCTATCTATGATGGTCAAGACATTAAATAACCAGGCAAAACAATACATAGACGAACTTCAGTAGGCGAATCTATGTGCAGGCGAAACTATCAGATACCCAATCAGAATAAGAGATTTGTTGGCTGTACTCTGGCACTCTACTGATATCCATAGTAAGGCCTGCCAACCCATTGCTGTTATGCTTCCCCGGTACCCTCGCTAGTGACTCATAATATAATCATGATGGTTCATACATGTAGTACACACCTCTTCTTCACTGGTTGATGTAAAACCCTTCCTTGGGAAGCCACTGCCATGTTTTGCTGTGTGAAGATCTGCTCCATACTCTACTTGAACCTAAGAGAATACAAAAAAAATCTTTTAACTCATCTCCCAGCTCACCCAGTACTTAAAGTGCCACTACGATGAAATTGTAATGTCTCCAATGTTTACTATTTAAACACAAGTTAAAGTACTTGCAAAAGAAGAAAACTGGCGTTTTTCATTTCTTGTTAGCATTTTTGGTTTGAGAGATATTCAAGTTTTAAGTTTATGCTATTCAGGAGGTTGATGACATCATATTCTCGACTCCCAGTTTCCTTCAACATAGATAAAGTATATCTCTGAGAGTATTTGATGAATGTCATCCAAACTTTGCAGCATACTTGTATTCAAAATATGAAACATTGAAAAATGCAACTGTGGTTGCTATGGCAACACAATGGTGTCTAGGCCCCTAACAACGATTTAAGCCTTTCAGCAATTGCTTCGCTATATTTAACTTGAGCAGAAAACTGTTTGACTAAATTTTTGTCTACAACCATAACATTATTTTAACCTAGCCTTATTCAATACAATCTTTGGTAAAGGTAGAAATGTCAAAAACCTGAATTTTAGGCAGGGGTGGCCTGGAACCTAACCTGTTGCTAAGGCAACTTATTTCTATAGATACTCTATCCCTAGAACACTAGAAAAGACTAGCAAATTTGGTTGATTTTTATTGAAATTGGACGAGATATAGCTTATCAAAATCTTAGGCTGCTCAAGTATTGAGAATATATGACGTAGTCAAGAAAAATGGCCACCATTTTTTTAACTCCAATATCTTTTGAAGGAAATATTAAAGATATTGTCACAGGTCTTTCAATCCAGGAAATAGAGCAAGTCAGAAATTTGATCATAGTGGTACTTTAATCATCAGCCATTTTAGATCATAGTGAATACAAAAATATAATGGCAACGTACTCTGCTTACCTCCTCATCCATTGAGCTTACTAGCCTCCAGAACTCTTTCTCAACTACTTGTGTTGGCACCTCCTGGTATAACAAGATGAAAAATATAAATAAGAAAAAATATACATAAAAAAAGGGAAAAAATAGAGGAAAAATAAAACCAGTATGATACTAGCTCTTTGACAACATCCAAATGAAATGTAAAAGGGGGGGGGGGGGGGGGGGTGTGCATTCTCTACTTTACCGTAGGTATAGAAATATGGATAAGTTATAGTGCTTGGGAACGAGGTTATTCTGGGCGAAAGACCCTTGGAATTAAATTCGGAAAAATTAATTTCCGACCTCGCTGGGAATCGAACCCACGACCTTCAGAATTGTACTACCAATGCTCTACCAGCTGAGCTCTGAGGTCAGACTGAGAGCAGGCCGGGGTGAAATAGATGTTAGGTCACGGTAATTATGATGCAAAGATGAGAATATGTGGACCGCGTAGCACTTATGAAATATTACATGAAGATATAGAAATATGGATAAGTTATAGTGCTTGGGAACGAGGTTATTCCGGGGATAGACCCTTAGAATTAAATTTGGAAAAATTAATTTCCGACCTCGCTGGTCACTCCGGCCTGCTCTCAGTCTGACCTCTAGCTCAGCTGGTAGAGCATCAGTAGTACAATTCCGAAGGTCGTGCGTTCGATTCCCAGCGAGGTCGGAAATTAATTTTTCTGAATTTAATTCCAAGGGTCTTTCACCCAGAATAACCTCGTTCCCAAGCACTATAACTTATCCATATTTCTATATCTTCATGTATTTCATAAGTGCTATGTGGTCCACATATTCTCATCCTTACCGTAAATACGTGTATTTGTGAATATTTAGACACTGATGTGATTCTAGCCCTGAGTAAATAAGTCTGTAATCAAGGAACCGATGGTAATTTGGAACTTGAATAAGGTCTATTTGAAAAAGGTTTACAGATTGAGAGTCCTAAACATTTATAAGGTCAAGTGTATTTGGGCTGTTATGTCTACATACATACCCGGGGAGGCATCTTGAAGTACTCTTTTTTAAATTGATCAGCCATTTCACCAAATGACTGCAGAGTGTAGACCTGTTTGGCTTGTTCAAAGCCGAAGGCCTCTTGTGGTTTATTACATTCCTATAAAGTAACAAAAATAAACTATTTTCATGGCATATCATTATAAATGTTAAGTCACCTTGATATGTTTACTCTGTTTGGTTCAAAACAGTGCTCTATTAGAAAACAGAGCACAGTGCTAATGCCATCTGTGCACAAGTATTCAGCTTGGAAAGAAGTGTAAGAAAACTACCAGTTGAAAACTTCTTTTTACACTAACAATAAAACAAACAGACTAATATTTTTCTGTGGTCAGATCAATAATATAACACTTAAAAGTCCACTTCTGAGGATGGTTTGGTTGTCAAAGGTTTCAGTATGGAATAAGCTCGTATTGGAAACTCAAAATTGCAATAAGTTTAGTATCCCAATTATCCTACTAAGATGTACAGTAATTCTGGGCCAATATAGTACATGTCTATTGGCGGCTCTCTCTACTAATCAAATTTCAAAATTATCAAAATTATCAAAGTCATATGGAGGGTTAGCATGTGGTACTTACCTCAGCAACACATCTAGGGCATCTCCAGTCTCCTCTGGGTACAGTAGTAAGTGGCGGTATAAGGCAGTATGTGTGATAACTATCATCACATCCATCACATAGTAACATTGAATCTTCTGAATCTCCTTTTGTACACACTTGGCAGACATATTCCTCAACCTAATTGGTTAAAAAATCAGGGGTTAAAATATACTGCACAGTAGAAGTGCACAATAGATTTTCAATGGTGTAGGATAGAATGCTATACTATATATAAATATACGTTTTTCGATAATTAATAGTAATACAATAGTATTTATTATTACAATACTTAATGTACAATATTAATACAATATTATTCAATATTTGATATACAATATTAGCATAATTTTAGTCTTGAATATACACTTTTATGCACTGTGATTGGTCGACCAGCCAGTGATTATGAGATGAGATAATAAAGACATAATGAAATTTAAATATTATTTCAAAAGTAATCTGAGGTACTACCTACCCATACAGACTGAGTCTTACTAGCTTGTCTGACTGGACGACGTCTTGTGAGCTCAGGTTCTTTTCCTATTTTAATGTTTTCCATTTTTAGCTTGCCACTGTCCTTTTGTTTGCTAAACCTGGTTGACTTTGCAGGTGAGCTATCAATGCTGACATCTGTTCCCACACATTTTGTCTTGCTTGGTGAGATGGTCTTGATTGGTGAGGTGTTCTTGCTGGGAGAGGTTTTGGAGTCAATTGATTCTCTTTTGATTTCTGGCTCTGGAACGTGGGTCAGGAGATTTTTATCTAAAATATAAATATAAATATTTAATTGACAATTGCTTGAATATAGAAAGATAGAAAACAAGGAAGAAAGAAAGAAAGAAAGAAAGAAAGAAAG